AAAGTGAAGCTATTTCGGGCCAGCGAGCCGATCCTCAGCGTCCTGATGTGGGGGGTGAACCACACGGTAACCAGCTCCCCGGCGCGCGCCCCTCCGAGCGCGGCCCCGCGCGTGCTCACGCCCCCCGCAGTCCCGGGCCTTTGCCCGGCGGGCCCCGCCAGTGACGCCTGCAACCCCTTGGCAAGCCAATTGCACGCCCACCCCACCCTTGCACGCCGTCCCGGCCGGGTGTGCCTCCACGCGCGCCACGCGAGGCCTGGTGTCACCGTCGGTGGTATGCCGTCGCGTCCCTCCCTTCTCTCCAGTCCCTCAAGCTTCCTGCGTCTGGCTTCGAGCAGCTCCTGGAGCGCAGAGGGAAGGCCTGTGTGGGGTGGAATGGCTTTCATCCCTTCTTCCTCTGTTCTCGCCTCACCCCGTTTGTTGCATTTGTTTTCCCCCATCTTCCTTATAATTGGCTGCCGAGCTCACTGTCCAGTTGACAGGGCAAGTGGCATTGGCCTGCCTGAGTATTGCTCTATTTCTGCTCGTTTGGTTGGTGTGGCTGCTCAGAGTTTCCCCATCTTCCAGACCTCCTGGCCACTGACTGCAAATCCTCCTTGGGTTTCCTTTTTTTCTTCTTGAGCGAGATGTATCAACTGGAGAAGCACAGGCTTCCTTGGACCACAGACACTTTACCAGGGTCTTCCTGGGTTAGGGTGAAGGGAGAATGTAACCATTTGAGAGAAGGTGAGGCCTGCATATGAGGACCACTCATAGTAGAAATTATGTGTCTTCCTGAATACTGTGGTGTTCATGTCAGAGATGTTGACTTCTCAGTTATTGAGCTTTCTATTGTATGGTCATGAGGATGTGATAATGGACGGTGATTAAGATGAGAGAGAGGTTCCCTGGATCCTTGGGGTGTTTTGAGATTGGCCAACGGCTCCTGTTAGGAAGTTGGAGCCCCGCACAGTGTTTGATCTGGAGGACTTCGTTTGTGTCCTGTTTGTTTGGGATCTTCTTTCTCTTCCAGCCACTTGCTCCTTGCATTCTGACCATTTCATTGAGTCCCTACACCGGAAATGAGAAGAGGAAATAAAAGGACCTGAAATGCCAGCTTCACCAACTAAAAGTTTGGAATGAGAAAAATGAAGCTAATGGCTTGAGTTGCCCGTGAATATCAGTTCTTCAGGCTCCCTGACTTTTCTGAGTACTTGAAATTGCCCACAAGACCAAATGATGACAGAGGGGTGCAGGGCCAGCAGGACTTTTTGCTTTGCTTTTCTAGAGGAGCCTCTGGCTGGAGATCGTTGAACCATAGTCTGAGCCGGGGTTTTAGATCCTTACCGCTAATACAGAAGTGCACATGGGGGTCTTGGGCAGGTTACTGTTTTCAGTAACCTCACCGAGGTGGACGTTCTGGCCAGGGTAGGGAGAACCGCTGGTTTAATGCCTAGACCTCTGGGAGCTGCTTTGATTCAGTAGTCCAGCAGCATTTGGTGCCACTGCTTCCTGCTGCCTCAGGGGTCATCTGACAACATTGCAAGGGAAACTGGGTCATCAAAATGTGTACCCTGTGTCCCTGCCTTGAAATCAATCCTTGATTTTGTTGTGCAGCTTGTTTCTCACTAGAAAGCATCCTGTCTGTATGGAGAATTGGTAGAGGTCTGAGAGTCAGGAATGTTAACAGCTAGTCGTAAGGGACTTTGGGCCCCTTATTTTATACATGAAGAAATGGAGGCCCTGGATGGAAGATTAGGTCGCCTGTGGTCACAACAAAAAACGCAGCTCGTTGTCCAATACTGTGGGCTGTGTTGGCCGATGGTGGTGCTTGAATAGGAGGTCTCGTTTTCTTTGCCTCCTTTTCCTTGTCCTGCCTCTCATCCAAGTGCCAGGACAGATGGGAATTATGGTCTTGTTAGAGAACCTGAATGTTACAGTCAGGAGTATGTGCCTGTGCCTGCCAGTTCCCAGGAGTGTATGTGGTACTTGGTTTTCTGATAGGCAGGCAGTGAGTCTCTGGCAGATGAAGAGGCATCTGTGATTCCTAGTCACCCTCTATTTTTGCTAACTTTAAGAAAGTTTCTTTGAGAGCTAGCTGGGAAGGCACTGACTTTAAGCAAGACCCAAGCCTCTGGACATAATGAGCGAACACCTCAGGGGAAATGCACTGGGCACCACTGCCCTGGACAGGCCGAGCTTTGGAGCTCGGTTAGTCAAAAGTTTTCTTGCCTTCACTTAGCCTGCAATAAGGTCTAGGACTTCATGGGTCCCCATGGGGAATGGAGCATCTCCCCAGAAGACTATAAAATCTTGCAGTTCTCAAGGGGGTCAGGACCACATTGTCTTGGTGGATTGATAGCCTTTCTTGGAGGTCACCTTTCTTCAGAAGCCCATTGTTGCAACTTTTTGCAGTCTTAAGTTTTCAGATACCACCTTTTCTTTGATTCTTTAGTTTCTCACCCATTTAAGCGTTTAGGCTGTGATGGTCTATGGTTGATGGTGTATGAGACATGAAGGATGGATATGTCTTTATCTGTAGTACAAGTCAGTTGCATACTCTCTCATGAGGTGGTTGGTTTACTTCTGGGTGGAAAAAGAAGCCTTTGAACTCAGTGTTGTAACAGGAGCTCCTCTTGTGGACAACAGATGCAGCCCCTGGACTTTGCGGAGGAAGACTGTGTAGGAAACAGGGAGAAAAAAATCAGAAGACTTTGGATCTGTCAGGCGAGAGCTAATAAAGAGAGA